GCGGCGCCGGCCCCCGGCCCCCCTCGCCCCAGCGCCGCGCTCTGCGCGGGGCTCTCGGCGCCCATCCCGGCCCGCACCACGATGAGCTCTGACGTGATTAGTCACTCCGTGCTGTGAGTCACTCAGTTAACATTTGCTGCTTCCTTCCTCGTGCCACTGCCTGATTTTTTCTTTTCTCTCCCCCTTCTTTGCCACAGTCATCACTCCTGGCTGCAGGGACGGAGCTGCTGCCCCTTCCCACGGGTGCCCTGCGCCGTGATTCGTGTCCCTGGTGGCACAGGGACCCGCCCGTGGCACACACAGCTGCGAGCCCCGTGGCAGGGCCCGTTTCCCAGCTCCACGAGGTAACTCTGGGTGCCCGCGGTCTGTTCCGCACTTCTCTGATTCCTGGGAGCACTGGATCTCAAAAGCTCGACTCTATTCTCCAGCCTGCCCTTTCTGCAGGGCGCAGCACTAGCCCTAACTGCAGCTCCAAGTGCTGCTTGTTTAACGGCACTGCGAGGTGGCTGCAGGAACAAGAGGCTCTCGGTCCCCAAATCCAGATCCCTGACATTGCAAGCAGCCACATCACCCCAAACCAACCACGTGCCATCCTTAAAACAGGCTAGATTTTTATTTGCCCCTGGTGGAAAACTGCTCAGAATCGGCACAGCCAGAGCTGCACCGCAGAGACAAACGGGGATACCTCAAAATCACTTGTGGTCTGGGATAATGAGACAATGCAATGAATGGAAAAGATGATTTTGGAAGTGGTCTAAATAAACAAATCTGGGTCACAACAGTCCCAGATATCACTATGCCCTGAGTAAGAGCCAGAGCGCGGCCACATCCGCCCCTCTGCAGGCGCCCACACCCAGGGCACCACGGAGCACAGAATGGGAGACGGCATCGGGTCCCAGTACAYGCGGTCCTGCCCCCAGGGAACCACCTCAGCCAGGCTCTCCCGGTACGGAGACTCCTTGGGAATGTCTCTTTCTGCTTTAGCTGCAGTAACACTGTTTTTGGACTGGAAAGCCTTTTTTTTTTATCCTAAGTGCTTAAATTAGAGCCCAACAGGCAGAGATGGAGCTGCCCTTGGGCTGGCTGAAAGTGAGGACTGCTCTCCCTATGCTAATGCCAACAGAGGTTTCATGTGGATTAATTCAATCACCTCACATGTTCTCCAGCAAAATTCTCCCCCAAATTAAAGAAAAAAAAGATTGTGAATTAGGCCTTTTTGACAGAAAAAAAATCACACTTTCCCAAAGACAGGGCAGGTGCTGGGCAGCCTCTGCCATGTTCTGCAGTGTTTGACCTATCTTCAGGTTTATCTATGTTGTTATTTTTTAGCAATGYGGTTTTGCAAAGAAGTAGCAGTAAAAATAGTACCAAGAGACATACCAATACTTTTGGCCCTAAAATAAGACGAGCAAAGAAGATSTACACATGTTTACAGCCTTGCTCTGCCCAAGTCACCAGCCAGGTTTGTGAATCTGCAACCTGATGGGGATCATTAAGCAGTAACATAACGAAACTAAGAATTGAAGTCATAGCGTGGGCTGCATTTTGCAAGATCACAGTCTCTCCTCTGGAGGAAAAGGTTCTACAAACTTGCCTTTAGATTACGGACTTCCAAAACTCATCRCCAGGAAATGCCTGTGTTACATGATGCTCTATCTCGACCCAGCTCTCCCGAGGCTGCAGGCACCTCCGCCCCCCAAGCTCCCAAACACGCACCCAAAGATTCAAAATTCTGCTCTCACTTTTTAAAAAACATTAACTGGGAGAACTGGGATAATATAAGCCAAAAGGAAAGAATAATAGGCAGCAAAGTGTGAAATCCTCCTGCCTTGCTGTGAAGAGGCCAGAGCAGAGGGCCAGCGCTTGGGCTCCGCATCACGAGCACCTTCTGTGGGGCCGTGCGAGGCAGGGCCCTGGCATTAACTGAGCTGCACTGTTGCACAACGCTATCGCCTTGACACCGTGTCGGGTAAAGATTTCCAATTGCCTCTTTATGAGTCATTCTCCTTTTAATTGTGCCTCATAAACAGGGCCTTTTTACCTTTGTGTTGCCTTGTGCACGCTTGCCTCTCGCAGGTCCATCACTGAAGCCCCTTTCCATGCCTTTTCACAGTGGTGGTAGGTTCAGAGGAACGATTAAGCCTCCCGGTGTSAGCCACAGGGGTGTTTTAGTAGGTCCACTTGTTGCATTTTCAGGTGTCTACTTTTAAGGTGTTGAGAGCTATACAGATCCTTGACCCTGGCCCTGGAAATGCTCAGGCAGAGGCTTAAGTCAATGCATTGGAAGGAGTAAGAAAGTATAGCACAATTTAAACATGCACCTATTTTTTTYCCTCAGGACCAAGTGCTGTAGGTGGGTGCCTAACTCCACAGAACTGACTTTGATCTTCTGCCAGGACTGAAGCTCCTGAAGCTAAATTCACACCTCTGAATTACGCTATTAGTTATTCAACAAAATCAAAGTCGGAGGATGAATAAATAATTATTAGACTTATTTTAGAGAACACAGTCGGCATTTCTAGAGTATATTAGTCACACTTAACATAAAACACTGCCCAAGACTTTGCTGATGGGAAACTTTAACTGCTGGTGGATAAAATGTGCTTGAGAATTTGAAATCTTCACTTGAAAAAAAAAATCTAGTGTGCCAGTCACAAGCCAGAAGGTGAATAAAATCCTATTCCCATTTAGGTCAGAAAAAGGAGCAGAAACTCCATTAAAAGCACAGACAAAATCACTTTTACCCCAGTCTGAACAGGATTTCCCTGTTTGTGTAAAATCTTGCATCCTAGTGGGTTCAGAAGAACTACTTTCTGTCCTACATAGCATCCTTGAGCATTGCTTTGAATCTTTATGCAACTGCTTAAAAGGATTAGAAATATAAATTAATTAATCACCATATAGGACAAAATTCCACGTAAGCTTTTCACAGCCARTGGGCACATTACCCTTCCCATTGTTCAGCACCTTGCTTTGTAGAAAGTGGTTTAAGCTGGGTCTTTTGGAGGCAAGATTGGTAGCCAAATCGTGTGGGCATCGAAGACTCTGTATTTTCTTGTGCTCACCTAACAACATGGCTAGCAAATGATGGCTGGCAGCAAATGATTGCAGATATGTGGAATCTGTTAGCACTTATTTGAAAAGTTGAGAGGTGCCAAAGTTAGAGATCTGGCCAGGAAAAAGAATACAAGAACTCTTTTAATGTGGTTGATCATATTTGCAATTATTTTTGCAAAATATATATTARAAAAACAAATATTAATTATAATAATTGTATTTATAAAGGAAACAATGTTCTGCCTCAACTGGAGTGAAATATTTTCTGTTAAGAATCTCTGTGATCTATGATCCTGCCTCACTCATAGAAGTGAAAAGAGTAACTTGCATTGCTGTCCTGGTAAAACCTCATCCTTTCCTTACCCTTGTGTGAGAGCAGCCACGAAATCTAAAGCTCTTYGACTGCATTTTAGCTTGATCCCCTCGGATAAAGTACCTGTGCATTAATTTTCTTTGATCCTGGGCTCATATCTTTTGGAGACTGTGCCGAGGACAAATTCAAGCTGCTGCATTTAAATGTGGGTTAAGTGGCAATGGGCAATAATCACCTCTGATTAGTATAATCAGCTACTGAATACAGAATAGCACGGAGAATTAATAATAATTATGCTAAAGGGCCAACTCACCCCCCTTCTCCCCGACCCAAATTCAGCACTTAGAAGACAAATGCRCAGAGGGAGCAGGACCTAAAGGGCAGAGCAACAAGTCTGTGTGTGCAGCTGCAGGATCACCCGTGTCATGCACAGCTCCAGCCGTGTGAAAGCACAGGAGAAGACCTGCAAGGCAGTGCAGAAGCACCATCCATCATCTGCAGTGCATCTTTCCAAATAAGTGATAGCTGTTACTAATTAACACCTGAAATTGCAATGATAAACATGGATTTTTTTTTTCCCGATAATGCTGAGGCCAAGCTTTACGCACGTAAGGCGGTAGCATTTTGAAGTTCCCCTCAGTTCCCTGCCCTTCTTAATTACTTGATCCAAAATCTGGCAGTTGGGAATTCTCCACTTTAATTACACATTGCATGGAAAAGTTTCCATTTCTCCTCCCTCACCCAGRACAAATGAGATGTTAATTCTTTCATCTGATGGAGTTTTCAACAGCATGGGTGAGAACTGCAAGGGCTGCATCCAGGGCAAGTAGTAATATGTTCCTGGCCAAACATAACAGAAAGTCGACCTTGTTTCTTCCTGAAACATGATCTTTCTCCCAAAATGAGGTGTCCGACCCAACTTGTGCATTGCAAATGTGAGCGAGAAAGGAAAGTGTTGCCGGGAGGGCAGAGCAGCRGGGCGCTATTCA